ATGTATGTACAAGGGAAACATGTGATGCAGTACACAGAGTTACCATCATACAGACACTGGGACTAAACCAAACCCTGATCACAGCTGCCTTGACTCAAAACTCCCAAAATCAGTGGAAAACCTCCCTTGACTTTGAATTGCTCGTCAGGTCTGTATTAGGCACAAGGGCCCCAAGTATTTATCTGTATGTAGCAGTTAACAGTTTGGTTATGCAAATATGAAGGGATTCCTGAGTTTCCTGAATGTTTGCCTTTTGTAAAGMTCACCTGCTCTYCTGGGGCTTTAAATGTTTGATTTAATAATTCCAATRTGCTGCATGGAAGAGAGACTGGATGAGAAAGAATGGGGGCTAAGAAAAAGGAGGAATTAATGGAGATGAGAGAGAGAGAAGTCAAGGTAGAAGTCATGAAACAAAATCAAAAGGAAGAAAATGGAAAGACAGTGGGGAGGAATGAGTACATTCAGGAAATGGCTCAGAATAAGCTTGATTCACCTATTGTATAACTGCAAACAAAAGAAATGAAAGTGGGAGTACAAAATGCTGGGCACACAGAGGGTGGCTCATCCCCAGCATTCTCCCAGTTCCTGGGACTTCTGTGTGTGCTGGGAAGGCCAGCCAGGGGAAGGAGGAGCAGACAGGCAGAAATCAGCTCCAGAGAACGCGTCTGCCCTCAGTTTCCCCTGTATTCCCCCACCCCAGCTCTGCAGAGCTGCTGGTGACTCAGTGGGTCACTGATGCGTTCTGTGTTTGTGCCGCGGGCTGGCACAGCCGGGACTGTGCTGGGGGCAGCTTTCCTGCTCCATCTCCCACAATAACTCGGTAACTGAGTGGGGACAGAGCTGTTGGAGCTGTCCCTGGGCACCGGGACCGTGATTTGCCGCCTGTGCCCTGCTGGGACAGAGGGACAGCAGGGACTGCACCGCGGGAGCGCTGGGAGCAACAAAAACCATGGGATCGCATGGTCTGGCACAGAATTCCTTCATTGCGGCCGTGAAGGGCTTTGCCTGCGGTGGATTAGAGAGTCCTTTCGGGATCTGGGGCAAACCAGTAAAACAGGCTGATGAATCCACACGCTGGGTGCCAATCTGGGTCGKTGCCTTTTTCAGGAGTAAACAACTGGGAGCCATTGTTCATCCTCCTGACTCTCTGCAGGACACGGGCTGTAAATTACATCTGGCAACAAAAAGGTTGATGGGAGCAGAACCGGGCGCTCAACTTCCCAAGGGAGTGCTTTGCCCTCCAGCCAAAAGAGCAGCTTTTCTTGCTGAAACCAGCACAGGCTCTTCTTGTGCCTTCCCATCAGCGCTCAGAGCCCAGGAAAGGGGTGCACTTCAAGATTTGCCACGCTGGAGCATTTACAGCCCTTGCCATTGCAAAACCTGTTTTCAGGATTGATAATGAAAATTAAATCTACTCTGAAATTGAATCCAGTCTGAAATGCAGGAAACTAGATTGCAGTCTAGGGACATGGAGGAAATCACATTAAAAATAGCGTATTTTATTGATATTACAGATAAGTGGGTATAAAATCCTCCCTGCTCCCCCAAATCTGATTTTCAGCCAGTCTCACAGATCATCTGTAGTCTACACAAAATAGACACAGCCATGACCACAATTACCTAAGGACATTTTTGCTTTTTATATTCACCAAGACCAGTTGCTCTTCAAATATCTGTAACAAGCTTGAAATATTAATATTCATAAATTATATTCATAATTGTATCCATCAAATTATATTCATAAAATTATCTTTTAAATTTAAAAATAAAAATATTTCTGCTGGTAATAGAAAAAAAAAATTAAAATTAGGAGCTTTATTTTTCAGACATTTCAGGGTTTCAGAAGACAAATGCCAGCTATTTTCACAGAAACAAAATTCCATTCTACCCTTCTTTCAATTTCTCCCATTTGATAATGAAATCAATCTCCATTGATATCTTTTCTTCCATCATAAGTACAGGTTCTTTCAGGTACATCTATTTTCTTGCCTATCCACAAAATCAAATCTAAATATTCATTCCAGGAAGAGGCTGTCCCACTGAGTTCTGTGRAATTTTGGTTTTCCAATTAAGCAAGGTCAGAATTTCGTCCTCTATGGGAATTCTTGCAAAAAACCATATTTTTTTATGTCACTGTAAGCCACGCGTGTTCCTTTTCTAGGGCTCCAACATATGCATTCCCTATTAGGATTTTTTATCAAAATTAATTAGTGCTGCCTAYAGTTCACATATGTGATAAAATCACAAATTAGTTATTTTAGTGTTCTTGTACTATATTTTACCATCATAGCAGCATTTGATGTCAAAGGCATCACAGAAAAACACTTTTCAAAATGCTGGAGTTTTATCCTTTTTAGTCTTATTGTTTGATTCTCTTTCAAAAACTTAATTCATTAATAATTTTACAAATTTTTGATGCCAGTAATTTAGCTGCTTGTTGCCAAGGAAGTAAGCAAATTCCAGATCTCAAATATTTAACTGTCTTGACAGGCTCAGAAGGGATGCTCTGCTGCATCTCTTCAGCTGAAGATTTSCTTCAGGATTTTTCTGTTCCTATGTATGAAGATTTTTCCCAAACTGAAGCAGAAGTTATGTATTTCTCATAAAGAAATCCCCCAAAACAAAACCAAAMCAAAMCAAAACMAAAAACCAAAGCCCAAACCMAACAGTTTTTCCAGAGTAGTACACCTGCGTTGACTGAATTTTCTGGGTAGTGTTTTGCCCTGCAGCCAGGCCACATTTGAACTGCTGTCTACCTGAGACCAACAAAAGTTTGTGTGAAAAAGAAGGAAATATTTTTGATTCCTTTTTTTTTTTCTGGAATTCACATGTGTGTCCCAGGCTGATGTGTAAGCAGGCAGATGGCATGTGGAGTGGTCAAACTCACATGTCACATGCCTACAGCTCATTAATTATTTTTGTGATTTGTCACAGGAAAGGATGTGCTGTGATCAATTCTTTTTCTTGTGTAGATCTGTCTTTTCCTTTCACATCATGTACTAGCATCTCCATGCACCTGCTCTAAATGTGTCTAATATTAGCCCACTTTTACAGGGCAACAAGAGAGATTTGTTCCAAAGTGGAATACCACCCACCCCTGCTGAACACACGCAGAAGTACGGAAAAGACTGAGATGAATAACAAGTAATATTTTGGTATCTCAAAAACAACCAATTCGTAATCAGGTGTCARAAGGGCTGCAATTAGAAACTTCAGACCATGAAGAGACAAGGAATTTCCACTCCTGGTAAAATAAGACTCTGCCCCTGTCCCTAAAATGGACTTTATTCTCCCTTTACCTGTGCCGAAGAAAACTTTTGGTTTTTTAATTCTATGTAATTATGAATACAGGATATTTACGGAGAGGCAATTTATGTTTATTTTAATTAAATATTCAATTATTCTGTTTCATTCATAGGATGTGGATTTTAAAAGTAATTTAGCAATTGAAGAAAAAGATATACTTAGTAAATTTAAAACATTCATTAACTGTGCACCAGCATTTGAAATCCCACTAAACGTCATTCATGTATCTTGATGCCAAAATATTTATAGATATAATTGTACAGGATTTTACAGAACAATTTCTCTTTCCACTTTAGACAACAAGGTATATAGGAGATTGCTTTTTAATTGCTTTTAAAGCCATTTCTTTTTTTTTTTTTTTAAGATAGCATATTCACTAAACAAAATGTGTTTTATATGTAATTTCAAAGTTGCTAGCCTCTTAATAAAAAGATTCCCTGTGTTTCAAGGAAAGATTTTTTTACTTTAACTTTGTCCCATCAGATAYTCTAGACCTGTAGAAATAGCATGTTGGAACCTGTTTCTCAAAATTTGGCTGGCTGAGGAAAGGATAGCCAATCATCTCTAAAAGGCAAAAGAAGGGCAAAGTCCTGAAAAACTTTTCATGTGACCTTCTTGTGCCTGTGTCTGGAAAGACCTGTCTGTATTTTTCCATTGTTTGTGGTAACAGATTAAATTAATGAGAAGATTCTTTCAAGTGGGAAGATGGGCAGAATGGTGATCTGATAGGGGACTATTCATTCCAGATTTGGCGAGTGAAACTGGAATCAGGGCATTTCTGGCCCTCAGTCACTGGTTGGTAAAAGTGAGAAGCACTGGTTTGGGTGATCCTGACCAACCCCTCACGATTCTCCAGCTCTAAAGAGAAACCAGGGCATGGAGACACCACAGRAATCACTCAGGAACACGAGGGATGAGAATTTTGCTTATCTGCAGAGGCCTTGAGGTTTTCACCAGGGGTTTCATGGAGAGCCAAACAAAACCACACACTGCAAKGAACACATGTCCCCCAGGAGCCAAGACCTTGTCTGAACCTCAAAGATCTCAAACCTTTGCCTCCTGTTTCTCTGCTKTCTGAATCAGGAATAGGAGGAATAATTCCTGCTGTACCTCGTGACATATCAGTTCTCAGTATCACTGCTGGCCCTGGCATCATTCCCTGCTCTTATTGGAGCAACCTGTGCAGAGAAGTCAAGGGTAGAACGGGCTGTGGGAAACGGATCCACCTCGACTTACCTTCTGTGTGAGATTATCCTCCAGCAATGAACAAAAACATTGCAGAAAGCTTCATTGCAGAGCAGGCTTTTTACTTGCTCTTAATTGAACTGCAGAAAGAGAAAATGGTGAGATAGGAATAATTAAATAAAATATTCTTGAGAAACCTCTAGGCTGTTATAGATGCTTTACCGGGATTCAGAAACTCTAGCGCTTTATGTTCACTTGGTTTGCAATAATGAAGAGATTTTAAAATGCRGGAAGGAAAGCTTATAACAGTTCATTTCTGAGCTGACTCAGGAGAGATTACACAGATTTTCCTGCAAGCACAATAAGTTTAACTTTTGACTGGACTTGTGTAAGAAGAGAATGTTTAGTGCCTCTTTAAAACTCAAGTGTGCCTGCTTAGTCAGTAGGAGCTCTCCTCCCACTCCCCCTTCTCCTACTGCTGGGTAACTTTTGTTGCAATATGGGTGTGACGGATGGAGCTCCCCCCCCCTCCCAGTTATGTCATTACTTCAGTTCCTTTGAATCAGAATAAAAAGTGCAGCAAACTTCAGACTCATTGACTGCAGGCTTAACAAGCGCCGGGGCTTTTCTCCTCTCTGCAGCTTGCAAGGATCTTTGGATTTTGCAACAGTTCCAAGAAAACAATGGCCAAGTTCTCCTTATGGGCAACTTTTGGATTATGTCTGCTGAAGCTCTGTCTAACAGAAACAGGTAAGTTTTTTATGAATGAAAACACTTATGATTTTTAAGTTTATGCTTCAGATAGTAAGTGCTGTTTTGCTGGATAGCTGGCAGCTTTCCTGCATCACTATTCTTTTGTTATTTTAAGTGTTATTAGTGATGTTTTGTTGCACTGGTCTGTACAATCACGGAAAGCTGTGTACCACTTGTAAAGGGCAATTCCAGGTCCATAAAAATTGAATTGTAGATCATTAAAGAATGAAGTTTAAACTAAGAACAGAACTACATCAGGGAATTCAGAATGGCTCTGACAAAGCTCATTTCGGCAATGTGACTGCTGTTACAAACACAGTTTGCTCTCCCTGTTTTGGACTGCAGCGAAAAGGGGGGTGGGGGGAAGGGGGTGAGCCCCCCCCAGAGCACACAGCTGCGTTCTGGAGTTCACATGAGCTGAGCCAACAACTCCAACATTCTGCATTCGGGCACAGCCTTGCTGAGCAGGAGAAAAACTGCGGGGATCTCTGACTGAAATGTGGAGAGCTGTTCTGCCAAGCATGCTTGTTTCTGACTTTATAAGGTTTCTTTGGGGCTGACTGATGAGCTTTTGGAACAAAGAGGGTTAGAAGTGACAAAATTTGGTTGTTTATCGATTACCTTCCTGCAGCTTGGCTATATGCTTCAGATATTTGTATTTGAAAAAYCTAAAGTTTATACAGAGAAAAAAAAAAAGTATGTCCAAAGTGACAAAAAGTTTTTGAAATTTCACATGGTCCAGGCTCAACCATGTTTTAGAGAAATGGCCATACTTTTAACAGACTCTCACTGTGACTGCAGCTGCCTCAAGGCATTTTGTGGTTAGGCATAACAGTTCTGCTTCTACATTATTTTTGTGCTCATCAGTTCCAGGAGTCTAACAAAATGCCTTTTTCATGGCCATTGTCACTCAGGGGCTGTGTGTGTGTGTACTGTAAATACATATCTCATTTGTCTGAGCAGCAGGAGATACTTCTGTAATGGTTGCAGTGCTGCCAGGCTGTGAATGGGTGTGTCAGAGGGAACCAGCTCCCAGTGCATCTGTGATAACTGAAGCAGCCTCACTGCTTTTCTTYCTAAAACTGTGTGACCATCGTGCCAAAATGGTCTTGCTAAGGTCASGTATATGGACCAAGCCTTAAGAAAAAGGATAGGGCTACGGTAGACAAATAAGGTACATCTAAGTTATGTTTAAATCCTTGGCTTGGCCCAAGTCTGTGCACTGTATAAATACTATAATTGCTGGACTGATTTTTGCTTCTATGAGCTGCCTGCAGTGTCCTAGAGAGCARGGTCTGCGCTGACTCTGGGAGTGATGTGCTTTTACAGTGACACAGCAAGCCCCTAATGAAGGCTTCAGCATGGTTTCAAGAAGTGTGTCAAACTTCACATATGCCCCTCAGGGAAGCTTCTTACTGGCTTAGCAAGGTACCAGACTATAGCTACAATATATTTTGGTTGGTGTAAAGTACATTCCAGCATGACTTTGTAGTCAGTAATGATTTCAAAACAGCAGTTGATGGTGGTGTTTTCTTTTTTTAGCCAGTGATTTTGCCGTGTATCACAGACTGATGGCTATTGTTGCCAGGAAGCTCCTGGACTGGAATTTTGATTCTTTTAGTAGTGAATTTTATGAAATTAAAGAGGACCTGGAATTGCTCTTAACATGATTACAGAATGAAAAATGAGTTACAGAGAAAGCTGAAAAACTTACTCATCCTGATGTCTGTGGTGGTGTGACTATACTGTCACTGATATGTGAGCAAGGTTTACTCATGGTGTTGACATGACTTGTCTGAGGAGTCTGGATCCCGGAGGGTATAGCTGCTGACATCTTGGTTAATGATGTTTTTGGAGGAGATTTTCTCCAGTGAGCATTATGTATTYGTAGAAATATCTTTCTCAAAGTTTTCTTAGATTAACACAAAGGGAATCCTAGAAGTTGGATCCCAATACTGGAAGAAACTGGGACAGAAATAGTAGTGGTAAAGATGAAATGGAAAGAGGGTGAATGAGGCTACCAGTGGGAGGAGGGAGCTTGGCTGTTAGCTCTGGAGAGGTTGCCAGAGCCTCATCACAACAAGATAAGGCTCTGAGACAGGGCTGCTGTCTCTGCTGGTCAGTCACAAAGACACAGCCCTGCCTGCCCCTTGGTTCACATATCTATGCTGTAAATTTGTAAATAAAGCAGTTTGAAGAAGCTCTTTGTGCTAGTTTATTTTCACTCAGTCCTTGCAGTGTGTGTCTTGGCTGCTTTCCCAAAGCTACAAAGTAACTAGACTTTATGGAGGTGCACTTGAACTTTCCATCCCTGTTCAGTGGAAGGGTTATGGAGCTGCCCTTGAAAYGCTGGCACACACATAACCAGCAAACCATGGCAGGGGATTGTCTGGCAGCCTTTGCAGAAATGTTTGAAGATTCTTCAGTTCCTGGTGCTCACCACTGTGAAGAGCCATTACCTTGWAAACAGGAAGTCAGAGAATGGCATAATGAGGACAGATAGCATCACACAATTGAGGAAGGACTTTTTAAAGTAAATGCTTTTAAAACCACCGGTAACTCTAGCCAAGGTTAAACAAAACCTTCATCTCTATGTGGTGTATCTTTCTTTCCAGAAGAGTTCCCATGACTTTTATAGGCCTGACTCAAGGATAGTATGAATATTGCAGTTATTCATCTCTCACCTAAACATGCAGGAGGCTCWACTGTATCAGGAATGTGCCAGAAGTAGGAGATATCATGCATGCTGATAGACAGATCAACACCAGAGAGAATGATGAGCTCATTACCACTAAAATTCTTGTTGAAAAGATGTGATGATATTTGATAATATTAGTTCTAAATGTAGTGCACTGGTAGTAAAGTACGTTGAAAAGAAGCAGAGAAAAAAAAAAAAAAAAAGTAGACTTCTTTTGTAAGGAGAGGGTAAGTCAGTCAAAGAACTTAAAAGTTTTTTGACATTCCAAATGCTGTAAATCTGCTTTCTGGTCTTCTTACACCACATTTTTGTTCCACAACTAAGGGATAAGTGTTTGGAAATGTATTCAATATGGAAGATGATAATTCTCCCCTTCATATGACATGTATTCTCTTGTTTACAAAACTCCCCTCTAAAACTGCTTTTTCCAGGACCAGGGCTAAAGGAATGATGTTGTCTGTGAAATGTAACTTCACAGAGAGGGTAATCCCGAAACAAACATGACCCACCACACTAATCTTGCCTCTTCTGAAAACAACGCAACATTTCCCTGGAACAATTAATGGTGTTCAAAACACATCATGTTTTAGCATCAGCYGGCATCTGGGCATGCTGATTTCATTTGTCAGCATTTCACCGAATCCTTAAAGTAGTGAAATGCAAACATCCAAGTTGCCACAAAGTAAAACACATCCAGGGTCTGTTTTATTCTTAGCCTTTACGTGTCAGGGATTCTCTGTGACAAACCCAGAGCTTTGGACCGTTCTCTGTGTGTCACCCACAATTGTAGGCGTGAAGCCAGTTTGGTGTAGCTGCTGGTCATTCTCCTGGAGTCCATCACCTCTTAACACACAGTCATTTCTCCCTCCCRGAGAGGTCATAATAATTTCAAAGCCACCAAACGCTGTAATTATCAGTGCCCACAATGGGTGCAGCTCATGGCAATGGCAGAGGGTTGTGTCGGTGTGTTTATCAGTTTCCTCCCCGCTCAATCTCAAGSCTCCCCAGAGCCTGAGCGCTGATATCAGTAGCAGCTGGCTGTGATTTGTGATTTCCCTGCCTGGCCGCGGCTGCTGGAGCGGCCCCCGCCCAAGGGACGGCACAGCCGCTCATCAAACGAGTCAGCTTGTAGGCACTAATGCGAAATGGCAACCGAGGAAAAGAGGGGTTTTCCTCGGAGAATCTTTCCAGTCWGACAGAAAGTTCAGCTAATTGCAATTTAAAGTTCAAGCTTCTATGACTGTTTCCTGCCTAACGAAACCTGCAGTCATTTTTTGAGTCTGTGTTTTCAATTAAGAACATAATTGAACTTTCTTTTGTGAGCAGTGGTTTTGGGACTTTCCAGTTCCTCTACATGACAGCACTGGCAACTTTATATAATGCAGCAATCTTATTTTGGTACAATAGCTTTCAATTCTTATATTGTGAAACATCTTTAAAAAACCCACTAAAACCTTTTTATTAAAAAAGACCAAAAGGAGTTGAAGAACAATCTACAGTTT